TTATTATCATCGTAAATGTGGTAGCATATTACGTAATAAATTTAAAGTCTTTACTAACACTATTCTTATATTTTTGCTAACTTTATTTCTTACTCTAAATAAATATGGAATTCGAAAACTTAGTAAAGAATTTTTAAAGAATGTTAAAAAGGTTTATAGGAAAATTTTAGCTTTACTTTTCCAAATTGCATCAATATGATTAAATTCTTTAGTTTATTAAGGTTTTTATCTTGCAAATCTATTGAAACATTACTTTTTTATTTTTCTAACTATTAAATTTTAATTAAAAGTAAATTTATTTTGAAGTTCTCTTAGATTAAAATTTCTTCTTTTATTTAAAACTATTCATTTACTCATTTAAAAAACGCGAAATATATCTGACTGTATTGTTTTTACGCATTTAAGTTTTTAAAACAAATTGCTTAATATATTTCAGTGTATAGCACTAAAAGTCTCCAGGTTAAAAGATTTATTACGCAAATGATTAGAATTTTGTTTTTCTTCTGCTTAAAAAAAAGTTTGCTTTGAATTTTGAAATGCAACAAACCCATTTTTCTTTCTCTAAAGTCATGAACATGGCATGCATTTCTTTTATTTATGACTTCTTTGACAGCTCAAACAGAAAAATAAATAAATAAACTGAGAAAAGAAATGATAACATGCTCTTTGGTTTCTGTGTTGGATCTTCTTTATCAGAGGCAATCAGATTACGTTCTTCATCTGAAGAACAAGTAACAGCACTCGAAAGTTTTAAACTGACATCGTCTATTTAAGAGAAGCAATAGGCGGATCTCTTAAAAATATGCAAACTATGCTCAATAAAGTTAAGTTTTCCACTTAACTAATTCTAACTACGAAACATTTCCTTGTCGGTCTCTTTTGCGGAATAGAGAGTATTTTAGTTTCAACCATTACATTCCATGTAGCATGCACACAAATATTAGTTATCTTTCATTACAATGTATTACAATGATTTCTACTAAAATCGGCTTATTTCACCTCGTGTTAGAAACTTGTTAGCGAACATTAAAAATTTCTTTTGCTTTTCACCAGGCTTTCATACACTTTTTATAAACTCCCTACATATTACCCCGTCCATCCTTTCGAAGTGTAAGCCAGCGTTTCTCAAACGTTTTTCAAGCAAGGACCACTTTTAAAAATTCCGCAAACTCCCTTACTCTTTGAAAGCAGTTTTTTAGCATATATTATTACAAATATATTTATGTATTTGAAATACCATTAATTAAAATATATTTAATTTTACATCGGTGTTAATTAATTAAGTTTAATAGAATAAAATTTATATTTGGCTATAATAATTCAAAGCTATTAAGGTGTGGATAATTATCATCTTAATAAATAAATGTTGTTACTCACATAAAGCTATGAGTAAGCCCACCCAATCGAGATAGTGGTTAGCGACACTGACTGCTGCACCGAAAGGCCCAAGTTCGAATCCTGGAGAAAGCATGAATGTTTGTAAATGTATAGTATCTGTGCGGCATGGGGCCACTCTAAATACGAGGCTCTTGCCCACTAGAGTTGCAGTCCTTGCCACAATAAATTTCGTGGATTTATTCTGCCGTTACTGTCAGGCAAGTGAGATAAGTCACAATAATACAACAGAATTGAATTAAGATATGAATGGCTTGAGATAGATGAGTCTACCGATTCTTGCGTAGATTTTTTTTTTATGTATATGTTGGTAAGAAGTATCATAATTATAATGGTTTCAATCTCTCCTTCGCTGCAATGACTAGAGCAGAAAGTTCAAAGTAATAAATTAAGTTCGAAGTAAAACTAGTAATAAATTTCATGAAGTGTCAGTCTTGGCAGAAAACTGATTAAAGATTGCCATCAGTAATTTCCAGACTCTGAGATTTTCAACTATAATGTAGTATACGCAGTATTTTATATTTTGCGTTTCTTGGAAACCTAGAAGAACCACAAAGACAGGTTTCGAGGGCATTTGTTGCCCGCGGATCTTAGACTGAGAAATTCTGGTGTAAGTGGTTAGCACGTGCAGTTGGTAAGCAAAAGATTCGTGGCTCGAATTCTGGCAAAGACACTATCGATTTTTTACATTGAAATTCTAATATCTATGTGCAATGTTTTTATCTAAAAAGTTTTTTTCAAAAAGAATTTAGGTAACTATCTAGATCTCTTCGAAGTACTCTTAAAATGTAAAGAACCGAAGTGCAGAAATTTATGTACAAGAATGAATGGAAATAACATTGCATAAAATAGAATCTTTCTAATAAGGAAACTAACCCATAATTATTTTTACAGAAAAAAGTCGGCACAAAGTTCTAATGTCGCTTACACGACCACGAAATTTAACCAGGAATCGAGTATGTCTACTTACCAGAAATTTTCTGCATTTCTTTTTTTAATCTACTGATGAAGAGAAAAGAGCAATAATAACTACAGTTCAACGATTTCTTTCAGATAAAGTTGTAATAATAAGTCATGAAGAATAAAATTAATTAATGATAAATTCTGACAAGTGGACACGAACAAAGATAAATGTATCCATTCTTTTTCACCTACAGCCAAATATGTACATATTTTAATGTACATATACGAGGAAATATTTCATTATACATATTAAAAAAATATAAATTACACGTATTAAGTCATATTTAAAAGTCATACTTATATGTACGTATTTCAATTACTTTTCCAATTTCAGATGTACCCATGTTTTAAACTGAATATTAAACTTCTCTGAAATTTCTTTTTTCACTTTGATGTTTTATTCACGTATATTATTACTTAAGTTCAGTTCTGCTTTCACGTTGTTCCATCTCATCTGCATTTTAGCATATTGATTTGCTGTATCACTTATTCTGGCAGTAATAATAGCTTGCTTTAACCCAGAGTATAATGTCGCAGCCCCCTTTTCCAATTTAGTAATATCAGAATCAATCTTTTCTTTTTTTTTCTCTTCGTTCCCTCCTCCCAATCTATCAAAAATGTATTTTATTGTTCTTCATTAATTTCTCACGTTTCAAAAAAATATTTTATTTTGATATCATGACTTTTCTTTCTATAACTGCACTAATATATTCTTGTCAATAATTAGAGAATTATTTAATAATGTTGGCTTTCCTTACCCAGAGCAAGTTTGATAGTTATGTAAATGAGTAACAAAAATAGATACAATAAGCATATTTAACATAAAGAATAAAAAGTAAAATACTTCATAAAATAGAAATTTTTAATGTAAAATACAAAATAAAATAGAATATTTCCGACGAAATTGCAAATCTATAAATTTGTGTATATTTTTACATTTATCTAATTGGTATGTAAATTACAGTGGATGCACTAGGAATGTATGCAGGGTGATTCTAAAATCAATAAACACTTAAAAATTTAGTATTTCTGAGAATTTACAGCGTATATAAAAACAGTTAGCATATAAACTCAAAACGAAACTTTTTGAAGAGTGCATCGTGTTATTTTACTTTCGTGTTATATAATCTTGAATAATTCGAATTTGATACAAGCTGGAAATGACCAAATCATGTTTCAAGGAGATATTAGAAGAAACTAGTTTACGACTCCATAAATCATCTTCGCTGGATCATCTCCGCCAGTGGATTGGGATGTTCTGAGTTTGGGTGATAATCGAAACCCATATTTGACAGCTTCAAGATTTAAATTTCCTATAAGCAGTCTTAGCACAATCAGAAAATAAAAGCAGAATTGAAACAATTAGAATTCATTTCAAAATACAAAGAATTTAGAGCAGAACAAAGCATACACTAAATTCAATTTTCCTTCAGACATAATTCTGCTTAAAATGTGATTTCTAATAAATTCACTGTAATTCCATTTCTGACAGATTTCACTGGATAAAACAGTGAAACATTCCTTCCACTTCATTACCTCTGATGTCTGCACGTTTAAACTCTTCCGCTCCTTCATATGCCACACATGAGATAACTTTTATTATTCTTGTCTTTTAAACGTTCTCCGTCTTCAAAGTACTTTCTGAGATCTTGTCAAACGTAAATTTTGCAAATGTAGTACAGACATATAAACTGACATTTAAAACGAAGAATAAAATGCATGCAAATCAGTTCGGCTTCGTAAAGATTCTGCAACTTCTGCCATGTGTATTTCCATAAAGTCCAAACCATTATTTAACTTAAATGTAGCTGATTGGGTTACTAAGTCACAGGCAAGTTTTGCTTTTATTAGCGTACACAAAAGAAGAGCTTACAAAGCATGACAAGCAAAGTTCTGTAACACAGTGCTATATGACATAGTCACCATCTGGTGATAAAAAATACCAAGCTTCAATTTCTAATTTTTATATGGTCTAATTTTATATTTATTATACAAACAAACAATAGCTATGGTAGATGAATATGCTGCTTTGGCCTGTACAGTGGTAAGCGAACGCTTTGAGGAATGGAGGCACTTAACAATCTCTAGAATCCAAACTTCTTCTACAAGGTTAGTGGTAGCAGAACGGAATGGAAGTAGACAGTTAGCTTATGTGTGCTTTACCATAATTACACAATCCAATAACTTAAATGCGTATATATATGTTACGATAAATGTATTTTATGTTTGATTTAATATTCAATTCAAATGTTTCAAACAATCTTTTTAATTTTATTCGTATTTATTTTACAGTACTGCCTCAAGATAAAACAATATGGGCTAAATCTAATAGATTTTTATATGCATATAAATATTCCAAACCTGTAAAAAGCAGTCATTTTTAAAAAATCGGTTAAAACATTCATCTTGCTAATAAAAACTTTGTACCGAAACTTTAGGTGTATGTTGTTCTTTTCCTTATCTTCTACGAGGTAAGATATAACCAAAGAAATGTTGGGTTTATGGATTTACAAAATTACCAGCATTGTAATTTTTCGAGTTCCTAATAATTATTTTAATTCGTTATCGTACTTTTATTTTGCGATTTATTACATGTGCATGCAAGTCAAAATCCGAAATTCTTAAAAATTTCATCATTTCAGAACCTAGCTGCGCAGTATACCTTTCCGTACCAACAGATGAGCTACTGGTACCCTCAAGGATTTCCTCAAGTCCAAGGACAGTTCATTCAGGGAATGCAGTATCCTTATGGACAGTACTATGGACAAGGATTCGGGTATGTGATTTTTACATGGAACTTTTATTTTTTTAAGTATTGCAATAATGTTTAAAATAGCTTTCATAAAAATTTCCTGAATATTTCTAAAATCTTACTTAAAACAATGAAGCAACAAAAGCGATTAAATATTTTTCTTCGCAAGATATTATCAATTTAATACATCAAACTTATCAATTTAATACGAATGGTATCCAGGAGCAATTGCTGGTAAGTTGTTCAGGGCAAGAAATGAGATAAAACAGAGGCGGTTGCATCACTGTTCATGCACTTTGTCATAGCAGTCTTTCCTTACGTAATCCACTAGCAATTAAAACAATAAGATACATAGAAGATAACGTAACTGTGTAAGGATCCTAAGTTTTACTAACGTTTATTTTATTTTAAAACTGTACTATCACTTCTTATTTTCTACTTCCGGCCAGAATTAAATGCTTTAACCTGTTTTTGAAAATTGTCTTGCTAACGCCCAAGTACTTAAGCTGTGGCTTTTTGCCAAGAGGGAAAGAGAAGGAGATTTAGGAAGCAAGCCGCTTGCCACTGCAGTTTTTACGAGTTTTCACTCAGTTGCTGGTTGCCTTTAAGGCCAGAGGTTTAGCCCTTGTGATATTTGTAAACGTATTGTTGTTTCAGCAGTCGGCGTACTACATACGTACTTTTAAAATAAAGGCCAGCTTGGCTAGGCATTTGTATACTAATTCAAAGTTACTTTTAGTTAGAGTTTTATTAGTAGTTTTTATCTTACGTTCAGACCACAAGTGGTTGGTCTTGTATCCCTAAGTTCGAGAGTGCTTGTAAAAGTTAGAAAATAAAGGGTTTCGTACCCTTCCAGCTTGTGTCGTCTGTTACACATAAATCTTGAACATAGCTTGAGTAAGCTCCCTGTTCCTATTCAGGACATATCATGTTTCCAAAGCAAATCAAGAGAAACACAAGTCCTGATAACTGTGTTAGAAAGAATTACGAAGCATTTTCTGTCCTATTTCGATTTTCTACTCACTGATTACAATATCTGATATAACTAGTTCAATTTAAAGAAATGAACCAATCAGCTCAGTAAGAATTAAATAAATATCGTATAAATGAAGTGCGGTAACATTAATTTTTCTCCAATTAACCAAAAATCGTGTACACTGATTACAGTGAAATTTTGAACTTGGCACTGTTTCCTTTCAGTTCTATATCTCTGATTATGAGCTAACTTTTCTGCTTGTTTGTTTGTTTCTGTTTTGTTTCTTAAGTTGTCTAGTTATGTGACTTTGGTCTTAACTGAAGACTGATATTGCCAAAAGCAAGAGCAAAGATTATGCTCGCACAATGTGAAATTTTTTATCTTTTTACTTTAAATATGAAAATTAATTTCAAGCTTATCTTTTACTCGGGAGAGGCTTATCTAAGCAGAATACCTGTTAGCTATTATCTCACCTTTTATATTACTATTCATGGGTCATTAATTTTCATTGGAAATGACATTAATTGACAAAGGACTTTAATTTTTCTTAGATTTTGAAAACACCCGACAAACCCGATACGTTCTTTTAGATTACGTTCTGACGATTCTAAAATGAAGTCAGTTTGGATTACATAGAAAATCTCCACAACTATGAAATACATAAATATTTATAGTGGAAGGGAAAATGCAGCACTGAAGTAGTACATGCAAGATTAGGCAAAATTGAATCTTTCATTGGTATATGTTTATTTTAAAACATTTCGAGAGTACAAGCAAGGTGTCCCTCGAAATGCATAATGTTTTTTCGTAAACCGAATATCAATCGAAGGTTTAATTTTGCAAATTTTTTATTTCAAACTGACGTTCTTTGCTTCCGAATATCACAGAAGTGTATATTTTTCGTAATATGATTGCAGTCACGGTGGTTGTATCAAATCTTAAATATCCATTACCTTAATAGACTCGACGCATCATTTGCGATACAGACAATATAATTGAGATGATAAATTAATTCAATGCATTAAAATTTCATTTCAATAAAACTCGTTATGCTAATCGGCTTGATATGAATTAAATGAGTTTAATCAAATGCATTTTAAGTATCAATCCTATATTCATTAGCAGAATTTTAAGCTTTTAATCAAGAGATTGCTATATTTCCTTGGATCGAAAAATGTATCTGTGTGCTTTTCCAAAACATGTTTCATGTTTCCAATTTTATTTTTTTTAATTGTCAAAGTTTTCGCAGCTTATCTCGCAATTTCAGTTTTCTGTTCTCAGCAAATAAACTACTTTTTTTTACTAGCACAATCTTCTATCGTCTCTTTGCATATGAAATAGTAAGCAGTATTTGTTTCTATGTCCAAAACGCCTTTGAATGTATACAGCAATGTCTATTTTGGAAATGAGCATATCTCATAGGATTCCAGTTTGTATACACAGGGAAAGAAATGTATTTTAGCCAATTTCATTTCCTACATCATTAAAAATGGCCGAAGCAAATATAGCTATTTTTTCATAAGTTGCAATTGATAATAATAACCCTATGACTTCAATAATGAATGTGTTATAGCTGATTTCTTCCGAGAGTTGTGTGACCTTATTAAAGCTAAAGTGAAAATTTGGCAATTTTCTTACTGTAGAGATGGCTGAAATTTTTAAACGCATAACTCTTCTGCATCGTGACCACCTCTAGTCCTCGGTCATAGGTATAATTGGACATAGATATAATTTAACTGTTAATATACAGATTCCTTTCTGTTCAAGGGGTCAGCAATTTCACTAGGGTTTTAAACATAAATTGTTGTTACGAAATCACAATGCTTAAGTATACCCTCCCGTAACCAAGATTTGCTTAAAATATTTTGACTGGACCAGCTACTTGTGATGAGTGCAAGACGAAGAATAAAGTATAAAATTAAAATTTAACGATTTAATTAAAATTTAACATTTTTAGGATATTTATGTAATTTTGGGAACATTATTTATGCACACTAAAGATAGCGAATGTAAATTATTTGCTTACAAATGGGCTACACAGAATTTAAAGACAATCATTTAAAGACAATGAAACAGTAGAACTAATATACTACTATGTAAAAGTTCACCGTTTTATCTACAGAGTTATTTCATACTCTCTCTTTATCTGAAGAAAATCCTAATATAGACACAGATCACCCATCGTCGTTATAAAGGGTCGTTATAAAGGGTCTATAGACAGGCTACGGCAGTATTCTAGGAAGAGGACGTTCACTATTCACGTTGCATTTACGTTTACTATTTCCATGTGCTTGAATAGCAAATTCTAAAAACTTACGTACATAGAGATGCAGTTTTTTAGAAAGAGGTCTGACCTATCCTAGAGGATAATAAGTGGTTCGTCGTACAAATTCGATTTACATATAAAAAAAGCACATGCTCATGTAAAACTACATGAGCATGAACGATTACAAGTAACGGATGCTATTACACGTATACAATACTCACTCTCCTGATTTAAATTGGATTCAGCATGCATGGGATCCATTTAGTAAATGCTTGGGCAGATGTCGGTCACATTCTAGGCCTCCTTGGGGAACTCAGAATTGTAATTCTCCAATAATGAATCCAATAGCAAAATAACCGCTAGAAAATCTTGTTCAACAAGTTATCTGTCGTAATTATCAAGGTTACTTATAATACGAGGTTTGCTCTGCTGAAAGTGCCCCGTACAGATACGCAAAAAAATTGTACAGAGATCTGGTCTACGGTCACCCGTAGAAAAAAACCAACAGACTTGTACGGGTACTCATAGGTTAGATATCCGGGTAAAACGAATAGACAAAAACCCGTTGACCTTTGTGGGCACCTGTAGGCTACATCACCGTAAAAACAAGCAGACAAAAACTCGTAAACCTATTTGATACCCCTAGGCCAAATCCCTGTAAACCTATTTGATACCCCTAGGCCAAATCTCTGTAAAAGCCAGTACACAAAATTCTACAGAACAATAAGGGTACCTCTTGGCGAAATCTCTGCACAAAACAGTAGACAAAAAACCCGTAAACAAACCAATAGAATTATACGGATATCATACATTGAATCCTTATAAAAAGCAATACTCAAAAATAGAACTGTACATCAAATTTCCGTAAAAAGTAGTAATTACAAGCATAAATCACCAGAAGTACACTATTAGCACTGATGAAATGTACAGAACTCTATTGGGGAAAAAAGGAAAAGCATGTAGAATAATTTTAATTAAATTCAGTGCGAATAAACTTAGTAAAATTTTAAATACCTAGAAGGCTACAGGCCACTGTCCTTCTCTATGCATGTCAGTACAAATGTATTACAAAACATGTGTGTAAATTTTCTTTACAAATTTTTAAACTCCCCGTATATAATTTTGAAAATAAAATTAATATAAAGGTAATAATCAAAGTCGCTATTCGCAACCATCGCATGATATATACTATTTGACTGTTGCGAATCATGACTTTGATTATTATCTTTATTGATTATTTTATATATATATATAAACAATACTATATATATATGTATCAAAAGAAGAAATAGTAAAGTGAATTTAAATAATTATCTTGCGCCATTGCTGGAAGGAATGAAATTTGAATTTAACAAACAATTATATATTTATTCATAAATTTTGATACTTGCACTTGATTTACATATGCTCTCAGAATTTAAATGATATTATAAATTAGTTCGCAGCAAAATCGCTTATTTGTATAACTTCATTATTAAAATTTAATAACTTTAAATTTGATTTTCGATAGAGAATGTTTGTTAAATTTATATCTATATATCTATATAGATATAAATATATATATATATAGTATACTGTATCTCATTGCATACGCTTTTGTCGATTCAAGGTCAATCAGCTTTTAACGTCGACGTCCTGCTGCAAAGCAGGGTTTTTCGTTTCTCCCTCTGTTATGAGTAAAGTGACCTTTTAAAAGAGCATAGTCTAGTCTATCTGCCGGTCTTCGTTGTTACTACCACAGTTGCGCAGTTATTTACAGATCTTGAACAAAAATTTCATAGTTTATTTTTTCTTTTTAGTTCTACCAGATAAGTTTGCTAATGCTTATAGTCAAATCAAATATTAAAAGAACCTTAATTTTCTGTTAGAGTTAACACGCTAGACTTTTGAAATACCCAGCTTTAATGCCATAAATATATTACCCTAATTGCACTCTCGACTGTATGGTTTTAGTAAATACATTCTTCCCATTCATGCTTCGACAATACACTGACTACCAATAAGTATTTGGACACCTGTGACAGAAAGGAAAAACTAACTTTATTCAAAATCAATAGTTGGTAGAGCCTCCACGAGAGGTATTTACAGCGTGGACCCTCCGGAGCATAATTTCCACAAGTCTTTGTATGACAGCTAGTGGTATTTTCTTCCACTCGGCTTGGAGAAGAATAGAGTTCCTTCACGATTTGCACGGGTAGTGCACCCCTGAATTCGGGGATGCAAACTCGTCCAGAGGTTCTCGATAGGGTCAGGTCTGGACTTGGGCAGGCCAGTCCATTCGATGAACTTCATTGGCACCATACCAAGCCTTGGTTAACGTCAAAACATGACAACTGGCAATGTCGTCCTAAAAGTAACAGGGGTCCAACCCGTAAAACTGCCACAACGTAGGAAGCACATTGTCATCCAAAATAGTGAAGTAGGCATCGGAGCTGAGCTTATCATGAATGGGGACCAAGGGTCCCAGCCCATACCAGGAGAAACACCCCCAGACCATAATTCCACCTTCGCCGAACTTGACTGTTGGCACAATGCATTCTGGCAGAAAACGTTCTCCAGGTAGACGCCAGACCCAGACCCTGCCATACGAACGGTAAAATGTGAACCTTGATTCGTCACTACAAAAAACCCGTTTCCACTGATCTACGGTCCAATTTTGATGTGCTTTGCACCACATTAACCGAGCAGCGCGGTTGGACTTCGTGATCAAAGGCTTATCGTGAAAACCAAGCAGGACGATCATGAAAACCAAGCAGATGTGCTTCCTTACGGATGGTATTCATTGAAACAATACTCCCGGATGCCTGTTGAAACTCCTCGCGGATGAGGGCTATCGGTTCGGTGCGGTTCTTCCGAATTTCTCTGAACAGTACTCGTCGGTCTCTATCCCCCAGTTTCGTTGGTTTGCCGACTCGGGGCACATTCCGACAATCACCGCTCACCTTCCACTTCTTAATCACATAGGCCACTGTCGATATTGTGTACTTCAGATCGCTAGATATGTTCCTTAAGGATCGGCCACATTTGTGATACCCGATAATTATACCTTTCTCGAAATCAGAGAGGTCCGACCCGTGAGGCATCTTGCATGCGACTAACGCCTATGCTGTTTCCTACACGATATATACCGGCGGAGTCCGTGGCGTACCTTGGGACCGCAGATATCGTCATTTGCATAGGTGTCCAAATACTTATTGGTAGTCAGTGTATAACGCTTTGCTTCGACAATACTTCATAACTAATTAACGTTAATACTTCATAACTAATTAACTTCATAATTAATTATTAATAATACTTCCTAACTAATTAACGTTAACGTTTTAACGTTTTCTTTCTATGTGATAGTTTAATGCAGTCTTCTTTTTCTTTTATCTTATTGATAATACAAAAAAGATATGCGTGAGAAAATTAGTTTTGTTAGAATATTTAACGGAATAAAAAGAGAAGACAACATCCCAAAACACTTAAGAAAACGTAAGGGAAATATTTGCATGATAAGGAATACATTAAGCTCTTTTATCAAAAACTTTAAATCGAAACAATTAACAAAATCTTAAACGAAAAAAACTATGGTAAGCTAATTTTGATAATAAATATTTTTTTAATTTTATCAAAATGCTACAAAACATCTGAAATTATTTAGATCAATATACATAAATTTTATTCAGAAAACAAATTTACGAAAGTCTTAACTATGGAACCTAACGCTAAAGAAATCAGTTTATAAAAATAACAACATCTGATATTTCGTACGTTCCTTCGTTCCCTACATTTATGTTTAGGAAAATTTCATAATTGCTTTAAAAAATAAAACATGAAAAGTTTTACTCCCATGCGACAAAAATTGACCGAAATATTTGACTTTAGAGTCGGAGATCATTTCAGAAACCGTTCACAAATTGAAGAGTGAAATGTTTTCATTTGTACGTAACTAAAAATAAAATATCAGTTTAGAAAAATGTGGTTTCTGGGCTTAAGAGATTAAGTACTAAGTATGTCTATGTAGATTATTGTGAAAAATATTGATCAATATTTAAAAAGTTTCAGAATTGAGATCTGTTTTCACAGAATTCGTGTTCTAGTAAGCAGTGGCAGGCTTCAGTATCGACACTTAGCCAACTCGTAATATTATTTACGTTACTAAAAATGAAAAATGTTTGAAGTTTAATGAATTTTTTGTGCGATTACCAGATTAGGATATTAAAGTAATAAAACTTTGCAAGAATATTAAGAACGTATTTTTAGACTTTGTAAACATATAGACTACTTGAGTTAAAATTCTTTTAGCATACTAGTTGAAATAGAATTGTAAATTAAAGGATGTCACGAACTAGCAAATCACGGAAGAATGTCATGAAATCGCATCTAATGAGGGAAAAAATCAATCTCAAATTATTCTAATTCATTTATTAACCGACACCTCATTACAAACTGAATATAACATCAAAATTTGAAATTATTGAAAAATAAAATCTGAGTCAAAGTTGGACGCACCAGAATCAAGCTTTTTGTGTTTGTTTTTTATTATGAGGGCAAAATTTTCCTTTATATAAGTATAGAGAACGGAAGAAAGTAGGAAAAGTTAAGATTTCGCAAATTTTGCAAAATTTATGTCATTAAATTCACAAAATTGAATCTTTGCGTCATTTAAAACATTTTTATAATTTGAAATACATGCCTATGACCAACCGTTGAGAACATAGGCCGCTAAGACCTGTTGTGGACATGGTATATACTGAATATACATAGGGATGTTAAATACGTATGTCCATACCAGTTACTCTTAGTTAACTTCTGATTTTTCAGCTTACATGACTGAATATGTTTCCTTTATCTATATATGTTCTATCTTTCTATGTTTCAGAATGGCGGGAATGCAGATGGCTTGGCAAGGCATTCCTGGTCAGCCTCAGATTGCTGCAGCTGCAGCTGCTGCTGCTGCCGCCCAGAGCCCCTTGGCGCAAGGATTGCAACAACCAGGAATGATCGGTGCCTATCCAATGCAGCAGTATCAGGCTCAGTAGTATCCCAGCATCAACTGTATGTAAGGTGCGTCTGTATGTGTGGCGGCAAAACTCCCTTCTAGTCACCCGTATCCCCCCTTGTTCAAGTTAAGCCAAGCGCCCTCCACCGCACAACCGGGACGAAAACCTTTTCAGACAAAGGACAGAAAGAACTGCTTCGAGTTCCGCAAACTACTGTTTTGTTATCGTCTTTGAAAGTAAAGTTTGAAGAAGAAAAATATATGCTGTAAGCCTGCAGAATAGTTTAGAAAAGGGAATGTTACTTCAGAGTTAGCGGAATATAGAATGATTATTTTTTGAGAAGGCAATAGCCGTAGTTGGTCTTAGGAACGTTTTCCGCATTGAAGTACACAGAATATATGAAGCTCACAGATAACTATTTATTGAGAAATATGCATGTTCAAATTTTTAATACGTTTTAAGCCTAAATACTTCTTGAAGAAAAGATATTTTCTGATTGTTGCTCCACTGAAGATGTGATACATTTTTAATTTCAGAGAAGAGATTTTTAGAATATTTCCGAAAATGTGTTCAAAAAGCAAATGCCAGTTTTGATGTCATCAGTAGGTTATTAATAGAAAGTAAACTTTACATAAAAATATGAATGTGTTTTCTAAGATTTAAAAAAGAATTTTTACCATAATAGGGAGAAGTCTAGTAGTATGATTGATTACATTAGACGAATTCAAAATACCCTATACTTCCTCTATTTATAAGTGTGGTTTTCTTTTCTGGAATGTTCTGCATCCATAAAGCATCTATACCAGTATTTGAAATCTAACAAAAGTAATAATTAATTTGTGACGTTGAACTTATATTTTAATATGCAGCAAAATTTCCCTGCGAAAAATGCTTGTTCTACTGAAATTTGCATGTTCTTGTAACATTACAAATCCTAACCCATGAGAGACGGTTTGGTGAAGAGTTGTTAGAGGAAAAGTGCTGATGGAAGTTCTAAGCTCTCTCCTACAAGGAAGTTGTCATTTAATCTTGAAAAGCTAGAAGCTTGTCCAGAGGCAAAAGAACTCTTCGTCAAAGTCTCTACGATGCTATGTGTCAAAATATATCGTGGAACAATGGCAAAAATTAACTGTGGCTGTCGAACTTTTATTACAATTTGAAACGAGAAGGTTCCCGGTGGGGGGACTTGGGTGACTTTATAATTCGGCATTGGAATCCGAAATACCATAACCTATGCTACACAGTCACCACCTGCACTAACCCTTTAATTATTGTGTTTGTTGGTTTTCAACGGAAGAAAAAAAAGGAAAACATAGATTTTAAATGTCATCACGTGTTCAGTGACCAAGACAAATCATCTAGTATACTGTTCGTCTTAGAGTTACAAGTTAGTCATCTCAGTTATCTCCCCCAGGTGGCGCTGTGAGCGAAAAAGAGATAACTAAAATTCCCTGGAACGTATTACATGTTCCAAAGGTGCTGAGTTAGAAGCACTGTTTTATTTATTCACATAAAATAGGAAGATTAGTTGTTAGTAGTTGAGTATAAGATAGAATTTACAGGATGTTTGTGAGTATGTATGTATGTTTTGAAAAACGGAGGAACTTTTGGATTACATCGGTGTATGTACACTTTCGGAAGTACGATGAAGATCTATTTTTGTTTTCCCCTTTTTTTTTTTTTTTTTTTTTTTTTTTTTTTTTTTTGGATAGTGAGCTGCATTCATATGTACTTGCAAAGCCAGGCTTCCACCCGATAAGTCAGTTTGCAGTTTAATTTTTTAAGAGGTTAGATCGAACGAGCTACACTGGGAATCACGAAACCCGTAGAAACATGTCGTGTCCCTTTTGTTCTCCATTTCAAAGAGCTACCATTTGTCACAAAACATTAGCTGAATGCCGTTTCAGTAGCATTTTTTCTACGGGCTTATAAAAATATAAAATGGTAAGAACATTTATCGGACGGGTTGTAAATCCTTACGTCCTGATTCTGACGTTGATAATATCCAGTGGTTATCAAAATGGTGCATCGTGCTTATTGGGGAAGCACCAAAGCTTACAGATTAACGTCGAAACAGATGGACACATTAACACACTTGATTCATAATTAACTTTCGAAACGCGCAACAAAACTCTTCAAGCTATTTAAATTAAACGTTCTTTCAAATATATTGTGTAAACGCAGCGCTACACGTATGACAGCACACTTAATTAAAATATTAACAGAACAGCAGAAAAACAACCACTGATCTTAAGAGATTATTCAGATTCACAAAATGCTTAACCTTTTTTTTATTTTTTCTTCAAACATCAGTGTTTAGTAGAAGCAGACGCATCTTTGATGAGTTTTTAGCTGCAGTTCATAAAATGTAATACAGTTCGTAACACAATCTGATTCCGAGAGCACGTAAATTTTGCAAGTAAAAAGTTGCCTTAGGCACACTACCTTGCAGTTAAAAAGAGTATGAATTTTCAAAGCAAATTGAAACGACAATCCTTATTCGCTTGCTGGAAGTATATTAATTAAATCAAGCGTTTTATTATTTCGTAGCTAATGATGTAGATCAGCATGAATAATTTCTTTTACATGAGCATGTAAAACAATTTACGTACTTGAAATCGTGTGCTTTAAATAGAAATAATTTCATTCGACCGGTAATTAGAAAAGCTTCATGTAATTAGAACTCGTTAGTTCCATCGTTACATGAGAACTCATTGTTACTTTTCATCAATGGTACGCAATCTATAAAGCACATCAGTTTCTAAAGCTCATATAGTCCTAAGTTTTAAAACTTGACTGATAGCTAGTAAAACTTGCAGCAATTTTTGTAACAGTTTAATGCGAAATGGGTCAAGATATTTTACTTAAAATGAGAGTTAGGAAATTGTGCACTGTATTTTGCAAACCACTGGAATTAAAGAAGCAGTATTGTTATGCAGGTCATTAGCCGCTTGCTTTAATGAATACTAAACCAGCTCTCTTAACTTTTTACTCTCCTCTCTTAAACAAATAAGTATTTTTGGAAAAATAAAATAAGGGGTTGAAATGGATAATTTTTTGTTAAAACCTGTTTATTTTATCAAAGCTGTGGTGGGGATTAACCACTTCTTAATCACCCTCCTTTTCAAGAGAGATGATTGATATTTTCATACTGTCTTTAAAATGTGCATTTTGTTTGCTAACGGCATAAATAGAATTTTGAGGCTGTGTGGCATATGAAGGACACAAATACATTACTTTATTACACTGAATGAGCTGATACAACGTTGTATTCACATTGTACAAAACCAGAGCAAAATATCATATTAGCTGATTTGAGTGTGGTACATTGGTTATGCCTGCACTGCGTAATGCAGTGCATGCCGTAGTTAGAAATTAAACTGTTTGTACTAGCCTAAGGAGTTATATATGCTATTAAAATGAAAATAAATTTGAACTTCTGTCATAATAATATTTTCTCAAAACAAAGTAAATTATTTTGACTAATTACATCGATTTAGTGAAATGATATTCCCATTATCAAACATAAATTATCAATATTATCATTTATCATTATATTTAATGGATACACGCGACGTATGTAAATTTCCTGAAAATGTGACAAAATAAATTAATAAATAAGTAACTGAAATACAAATATTTCTTAAATTTAGATTGTATCAAAATTTTGCATCATCATTATAAATTATTACGTACTCTTTTAGGGTACTTCTTGTCAAGATCAAAGCTATTTAAACCTTTGGCTAATACAAATAGTTTCATTATAATAACCATTCCTTAATTATACTGAATAAATATGAGTTTATCTCTATACAGCGTTGTATGCACAATGTACAAACCAAACCAAATACAAACAACAGTGAGCAACGTTTGCTGCAAAGGCACTGTGTTGTACTGTGTGCGGTAGCTAGTTCTATACTAAGGTTTCCAAGCAAAAAATCAATTAGAAGAGAACGCGTAAAACGCCGCTCGGCCGCGAAATGTAACTTTATAACCAAACGTAGTAGTTTGTAGGAGCTTTGATAGTTTAGATCTGATTGTAGTCAGCCACGCGACATGTAGGTTGTTTCGCTACGTAGCATCCAAAGATTTGTACACTTAGTCTAAACGAGTCTCGGTAGTATTGTGCGTGTACTGAACGTATGTTTGTGTATTTGTAGTCCGTGTGCCAGACCAAACGTTCGTAGTTGGCGAGCGTTTGACAATTTATGTACCGTGCGAATGTCAAGTATATGTCCTTGTCTCTAAGTCCATTGTTCCTAGATGACCTTCGTTGCATATGATAAACAATGATGTTTCCAAACCAAACCCATTGGGTAAATTATACAAATATATAAGTCAAAGAAAGTCGTTAGTTTTACAAGTTGATGTTCAAAGAGAAAAGATAGCTTCCGAGGTTGATCTGAAACAATTTTGCAGTACGAAAAACTGCATAAAAACTAATCTTGCTGTTGACAATTCGTTCTTTTACTTTCGGAAGTTTATAGTCTATGAATAATCCGTACGCAGCCGCGAAAAGATGAATTTATCTATCAGTTTGTGTGTCTGTATGTATACATACATATGCTTATAAATATACATGTTTATATATATATTCTCGGACACACGCAAATGCATCATGTTTATGGATATATATACATATATATATTTTGAACTTTTTGTGGCAGCATATTGTTGGTATATTTCCTCTCTTCTAGATATCTTGTTTTTTTAAATGTTTGCTAAAATGTTGTCTGGCATGGCATGCGATAAGTAGAATGATTTCAAAACTTAAAAAGTAACAAGTTTTCAGAAAACATAAAAAGTTCTCTTTTGCATTTAGCAGGTCGTGACAAGTCGCAAGTGCGAACGCACGATACTCATTTTTTACACGTTTTGATATTATATCCGAGCTGAAGATTTTCAGTCGCGCCGATATGAATTATACACAAATAAAACGGACAAGTGACACTCACAAACATTGATAATTTCTTACAAAATCAAAAATACAATTCTTGTTAGTTGACAGGGGACTGCTGTTTTTGTTGTTTGAGATATCCAGCTTGCTTGCTTATATATGTGCGTATGTTTAATGTGTGAGTGTCGAAATTTCAATAAGGAATTGAAAACGTTATCCCCATTTGGGCAGAAATCTGTTGAAACTGTATTACCTGGGGTGTATCAGTGGGGTTTCGGAATTCAATATATATATAATATATATATATATGTATAAAGAGGAAGCAAAATTCGTCCGTTTTCTAAATTTCCTTGTACTGATTGACATGCCTAAAACCCTACGGTTCCTGTTATTTCCAGGAGGCTTAGGGTTTCTTGCAATTCTCTCCGAATAGCAGCACAAATGTTTTGTTTGTGTGCTTTGTTATCCACCCTTTGCATAGCATTTGTTCTGTATGTCTGTAATGTTAAAAACCGAAGCCCCAAATGAAATGTATTTATGCTAAGCTGAAACACTCCATCAGTGAATTTAAATGGTTAAAAATATATAATATAATAATAAAATAGAAGATGTTTTGTGATTTGGAATTATGATTGTAGCGCCAGAAAGAGAAATGGAAGAAAATAAAAGTGATAAATTTCTAAATTTCGTTTATGTCATTTATTTTTATTGCGTTATTCATTAATTTATTGCTCAGATAAACAATAGCATAAGTTTACTTCCTTTCTGAGTTAAGAAAATGGCTTCACAATCGAGAACTTGTTTACCTTCAACCCTTCACTGGAAAATAGTAAGCCATTAAATTTACATTTTCTCTTTAGCACACTGTAAAGCAAAAGTGATAAAAAACTGAGAAATTGTCAAATAAACTGAGACATAAAATTCACAGTTCACATCGAAAAGAAAATAAATAAATAAATGTACAAATAACAGGATCATCATTGCGTAAAATCTCAGAGTATTATGAATTAAACACAGTATCATTTAGGCTTGTAGTTTTGCTCCCATTGTGTAACTGAGACATC